TAATAATAATAATAATAATAATAATAATAATAATAATAATAATAATACACGAAATACTAATGTTCTGATGGTCATTTCGAAAAATCCTTTCTTAGTGAGCCCTTAGAAGCCAAGAGGAACATACGTGCCAAATTTCAAGTTTGTAGGCTTTACAGTTCTGGACATTTTGTGATGATGCATGAGTGGTATTTTGCTTTTATATATATAGATAATAATATATTTTTAGATAAGGATAGGAGCAGGTTGTAATCTTGAGAATAAGGACCTTCTGAGACTGCCTGTAGGAGAGGACTAGGCTGAAGGGGTTAAATGCATCATCAGTCTCAAGTCCCTTCATATGCACAAGAAATAAGTCCAGCCCACCATGAATTCCTTTGACTCTTATCTACCACCAATTTGTTTTGACCATTAGTGGTTCAGATTCTAGCTTTAGCATACAATAAACCTACACATTCATTTGAAGGGCCTTGGACTCCTGATTTCCTGTGCTTAACACCGCCCTGATTTCAGAGGGCATTCAAGGTTCCGTTGGAGAGCTTCTGTGAACTGCCAGCCACCGGATGAATTAAGAACACTGCTTTTTGAACTGCCAATGCATTCGAAGCAGACTGGAGAAAGGACAGGGCAAATGGTGGGTGACATTTGATCTATCTCAAGATGCTTTGATTTCTCACCTTTGATCCCCATTAAAGAGTTCGCAACCCACTCAAAGATGTGATGACTTCAAGTTCCAGAATTCCTTAGCTAGCATTCTGGGCATTAAAGTCCACATTATCTTAAGATGTCTATGGAGATTCCCAGTCATTCAGGTCATGGTTGTCCCAAAGGTGCTTTTTTTTCCAGAGGCAACTGGACTTTGTTTTTCTTCTTTGAAGGCATTTCGCTTCTCATCCAAGTAGCTTCTTCAGCTCTGACTGGATGGTGGGGAACGGAAGGATTGTGGAAGATGAGCTCAGGAACCTAAAGCAGGGAGGGCGACCCATCAAGGAACACATCCGCGAATTCAGGACGATCAGTGGGAAGCTACCCCTTTTTGCCTGAACGGATGCTGGTTCATTTTTTTCAGAACAAGCCTAGACAAGCAAATTAGCCAAGTAACTGCCTATCAGGACATCCCAAACCGACTCTCTGACTGCTTCCGCATGGCCATAAAAGTCTACGGGGCACTACAAGCCAAGAGGGGTGGGGGTGTCATGAGCATAAGCTTCCATATCTGCAATCAGTTTGATTTTGTGTGTGTTGTACAGGTCACCTTCAAGAAGTGAGGGGAGCCGAATGTCAACTCATAAAACATTTTGTCTACACGTTTTATAGTTGACAACAGAAAGGGAGGGGGGGGGAGTTTCAAAGAGCAGGCAGCAGTGTGGAATCGAAAGTACATTCCATTCATATTTTTCTTCAGAGACTGATTAGATGATTGAAGCTTCTGCCATGCAAAAATCTAATTGGCGAGCATGATTGATGACTCTTGGTTGTGGACGTTTGATTGTGGACGATACACCCAGAGGGATGGGGGGGAAAGCAGGATCAAGGGTGACAGTGAATTACGTATCTCAGAGTTGGCTATGCCCAGGCAAATGCCAGATATGGGATGTTAATTTCAAATAAGTCTTTTTAAGTTTTGGGAGTGTGGCTCGAGGCTCATGATTTTAATTGGAGTAACTGCCGGAATCCTGACACTAGCGACATGAGGAAGCCACTGGAAACCAAAGAGAAAGATCAGCCAGACCAGAGACCACCCAGCCAATGAGGAACTACAGTACCACAACCGGTCCCAAGACCAGCCCTCCTACGAAGCCCAATTAAATGCTACCAATGTGGGGGATGGGTCACATGTCAGCGGTGTGCACAACCCTAGGCCCGAAACCAAACCACCCAGGCAGCACTGACATGTTTACTCCTAATAAATCTGCTTTAAGTTTGAAAATCCGGCTAGAGGCTAGAGATTTAAATGGGGGTAACTACCGGAGCCTTGACAAGGATTTATATTCCTCCCCAAAGGATGCAAATGACCAGCTGTCTGCAAGGCGTATAAATCCTTCTGTTCCCCACCATCCAGTCAGAGCTGAAGAAGCTTCTTGGATGACAAGCGAAATGTCTTCAGAGAAAAACACAGGAAGTCCAGTTGCCTCAGGAAAAAAAGCACCCTGAAGACACAGACAAACCCCCCAGTGGCCTCAATGACCCTCTAACAGGATGCAAATGACCAGTTGCCCGCAAGGCTATAAATCCTTCCATTCCCCACCATCCAGTCAGAGCTGAAGAAGCTTCTTGGATGAGAAGCAAAATGTCTTCAGAGAAAAACACAGAAAGTCCAGTTGCCTCTGGAAAAAAAATCACCTTTGGGACACACATCTTAAGAGTTACCGAGGTTAAAAAACATTGCTCTCTCAGAACAAAAATAAAATAATAATGAAAACATGCCTCCTCTAACTCACCTGGGAAGTAAGGACGCAATGAGGATTCAACGTTACGCCTTCCTTCACCTCTGCCTCGTCACAAACAATGGACTGACAGATTTTTACACCGTCTCCTATATGGACATTATTCCACAGGAATGCTCGGTCCAGAAGGACACCATTACCTGATCAGTACCCAAAAAAACAAACCATCACTTTATGCCATACTCATCCAGGTGTTTTTCTTACAATAGATAAGTTAGTTGTGTCTATTCACCGTCCCACAGCATAAAGTGGCTTGTGTCAACTCATAAAATATTTATTTAGCACTTTAGGTAAAGTCTTGCAGCCCAGAAGTCATGATTTACAGACACTCCTTGACTTACAACCATTTAGTGACCATGTGAAGCTAGAACTGCATGGAAAAAACTACCTACACAATGGTCACATGATCAAACTTTGGGTGCTGGCCATCCGGCATATATTTATGAGAGTTGCAGTATCCTGGGTTCGTGTTGGTCATCATTTGTAACGGGCCAGTTGGCTCCCAACGACCAAAGTCAATGGGGGAATGGCAGATTCGCTTAACAACTGGTTCATATTTATGAAGGTCGCCGTCTCTCCGCTTTTGTGACCTTCTGACAAGCAAAGTCATTGAGGAAGCCAGATTCACTCAACAACCAGGTTACTAACTTTACCAACTGCGGCAATTCACTTAACGCCTGAGTCAAGCAAGGTGTCAACTTATAAAACATTTTCTATACACGTTTTATAGTTGCCAATAGAAAGAAAGTGGGGCAGGGGGGTTTCAAAGAGCAGGCGGCAGTGTGGAATCAAAAGTACATCCCATTCATATTTTCTTCAGAGACTGATTAGATGACTGAAGCTTCTGCCGCGCAAAGCATGATTGATGACTCTTGGCTATGGACGTGTTTCGTTGGAGAATATGAATTATGATACACCCAGAGGGGTGGGGGTGGGGGGAAACCAGGGTCAAGGGTGGCAGTGAATTACATGTCTCAGAGTCGGCTATGCCCAGGGCATGCTGACATGTGGACTTCCAATAAATCCTTTGAAGTTTTGGGAGGTTGGCTCGAGAATCATGATTTAATTGGGGTAACTGCTGGAATCCTGACACAAGGTCGGAACATGGGGCGGAACTCCCTCAACAAATGCCTTGCTTAACAACAGGAAGTTGGGGCTCTGATGATGGTTGTAAGTCGAGGACTACCTGTATGAAGATTTCTTCTCATCATGTTTTCTGTTGTACCTACCAACCTCGACCGGAGACCCCTTGGTCCCAGAAACTGGTCCAACTTTACGGGCATCGCAACATACCGATTTTGCAATTGGGCCCAATGACACTGTTGGTGATGCAGCACTTCGCGCCCACGGATGTTCCTTGCCCAATGAGTACGTTCTCTTCCAGCACACTCTCGTGGCCCAGGCTAACTTCTGCACCCCGGTAGACATTGTGGCGGGAATGGGTGCAGCTCTGCTTCTCGTTGACGAAGTTCATTTCCGGGGTCAACGGATACACCCAGCGCTGCAAGATGTCCGAGGACACCGACTCGTACATCGACAAATTGGAAACGGAGGCGCCGTATTCTTCTGAAGTCACGTACATGTGGATCTGGTTCCCAAGGACCTGGAGAACAGAGAAGGGCTATATTAGGAAAGACCTTAAAACTTTCTTTTCCAAGAACAGAACAGAATAACAGGAGTTGAAAGCGACCTTGGAGGTCTTCTAGTCCAACACCCTGCTCAAACAGGAGACCCTATACCAGTGATGGCTAATGTCAGGGTTCCCACAAATCCCCCTCATTCAAAGCAAAAGTCTCCAGCTGCATCTCAGAAAAAGTAAACTGGCTTATTAGAAGTTGCCTTGGCGCGTGGCTGGGTGCAGGTGGTACTCAATCACACCATACATTTCCCCCTTGACCCTGGTCTTTCCCCCACCCCCTGGATGTGACTTCTCCAATAGGACACATCCGTCTCCAAGAGTCATCCATCATGCTCTCCAATAACCTTCTTATGCTCCGAAAACTTTGGGCTGCTGAGTTGATTATCTAGGCATTTCAAGAATGCCTTGTTTATCCCCACTCCCTTTTTTCTGGCAGCTAAAAAGACCAAAGGAGTATCTTTTTAGTTGACAGCTAATGTTTTTGGCACCAAGCGCCCAAAGCACGTGTCCCCAAAATGCAACACACACGCACCCCCAACACAATGCATGTGTGCATGGCTCCAGCACCCCCATGCATACATGCGTGACTTCCCGTGCCCCCTGCACATGCGTGTGCGAACCCCTGCGCCCACACACGTGGCCCATGTGTGCACCCCGCCCAAACCCACATGCCCCACGCATATGTTCATGCCCCCACACATGCCACCCACCCCTGCTCATGCGCCCTCCCCTCCACGCATGCACGGCAGAGACCCAAAGATCAGCTGGCCAGCGAGAGGTGCATGTGTGCATGCGCGACAGAGCTGAGCTGGGGTGACGACTAGAATGCCACAGGTTCGCCATTACGGCCTTATACCATTTCAGGCAAATGGCGGGCCAGTCTCTTCTTAAAAAGAATGAACTTGACGACTTAAGGTTGTTAATGGGCCTTGCCCCGCCACACCAGCCGAAGAGGCCTTCTCCGACCCCATCAGCCAAGGAATTCTGGCTTATGAGATCAAGGAGAAGACACGGCCATGGCTTTTTCACCGTCTGGAGCATCAGATCCCTGAGGTGAGATCTCCCCCCATCCTCTTGCGTTTCGAAAGGGCCTGAAGACCAGGCTCTGGCCTCAGGTCTGGGGGCCCGGTGACGACGTGTCATTCTGGAGGTGTTTAATGTATTAAGACTCCACCTCCTACTGTGTGTGTCTTGCTCCCTTCCTATCTTTATTAACTTTTAAGTCCATTTTAACGTTAAATTTTTTATTGTCTTGATCTTTCAGCTTGCTGTTTTTGTTGACTGTAGGCTACTCAGTCAGTTCTAAGTGAGATGGGCAGCATGTGAGTTTAATAAATACATAAAAGTTATCCATTTTTTGTGTGTTATTGGTCTCAGCCACGCAGAATTTATTTATTTATGTATTTATTGCACCTGGGAGCAGACCGACAACTAGTGGCAGCTGGAGGAGCAGTGGTGTTACAGGGGCCATTCTTGCCCCTCCCCCCCAAAACTCAGGCAGCCTACGAGTTTAATGAATTATGACAGTTAATGAATTATTATATTCAGGAAGTGGGTCTTTGGCTGGTGTGGTAAAATGGGTGAAGTTTTGTAATCATGTGGCCACCAGGGCTCACTGAATGATTCTGAATTCCAGATACCCGTTTCTTGTCAATCACTCCAAAATCAGATGGAAGTTTGTTCTGCCAAATTATTACCTGTAACTCAATCATAACATATTCTATTACTAGTAGAAGAAGAGTAAAGTATTTCTACACAGAGTACACAATGCCTTGATGATGCATTTCCTAGACCCATGGTGGTGAACCTGTGGCACATGTGCCACAGGTGGCACGCAGAACCATTTGTGTGGGCACGCAAGCCCCAGCCAAACTTACCTGCACTGTGCATGCGTGTGCCTCCCAGCTGATTTTCGGCCCATTTGAGACCTTTTTCGGCCTCCCAGAGGCCTGAGGGAAGCCTCTGCAACCTTTGAAGACCAAAAAACAGGCCTATTTCATCACTTCCTGTATTTCCGGAAATACCAGAAGTAACAAAACAGGCCCATTTTTCGACCTCCAAAGGCTGCAGAGGCTTCCCTCGAGCCTCTGGAAGGCCGAAAAAGGCCTCAAACGGGCCAAAAATCAGCTGGGAGGTGCGCAATGCAGGTAAGGGGGGGGATCACACGCGCATGCGCAGGGGGCACACACATTGCCTTCTGGGTGCTGGCATGTGAGCCCACACAATTTTCAGCAGGAGCCCAAAAACATTAGCCATCGTTGTCCTGGACCTTCTCCTAAATACACCTTCATGATTTGGAACAAGACCACCATTCTGCCACAGAAGCCTCCGCAACGTATTTACCTCTTCGTTCACCAACAAGCCACGGACAAAGTCATCCCGAGTTTGATAGTCAAAATTATCCGTAAACAGCTCGGCCACCTGCAAAAGAACAAAAAAGGGTTGGTTTTATGCAGCTTTAATTTTGCGAATTCTGTCTGAAATGAGACCAATGTGCCAAGAGAAATCTCCACCTTTGCCATGAAGAACTACAAATGTGTCTCCTCTGAGGTAAAGGTAGTCCTCGACTTAACAACAGTTCGCTTAGTGATCATTTGAAGTTACAATGGTACTGGAAAAAGTGACTGACGACCGCTTTTCACACTTATGACCCTCACAGCCATCCCACGGTCACATGATTTACTTTCGGATGTTTGGCAAGTGGTTCATATTTATGACGTGATCCCCATTTGTGACCTTCTGACAAGCACAGTCAATGGGGAAACCAGATTCACTTAACAACTATTTTACTAATTTAACAACTGCAATGATTCACTTAACAAACGTAGCAAGAAAAGTCGTAAAATGGGACAACATTCACAACAAATTTCTCACTCAGCATCACGAATCTGGGTCTCAATTGTGGTCATAAATTGAGGACTACCTGTATAGGTGGAAGTGCACAAAGGAACATGTATGTCACTACAGGTAGTCCTCAATTTAGAACAGTTCATTTAGTACCTGTTCAAAATTGCAACAGCACTGGAAAATGTGACTTATATCCGTTTTTCACACTCACGACCGTTTTAGCATCCCCCATGGTCATGTGATCAAAATTTGACCGCTTGGCAACTGGCATGTGTTTGTTTATGAGGGTGGCAGTGTCCTGGAGTCATCCACCCAACCATGGTTAACCAAATTACAACTTGGCAGGATGAGAGAACACAACCAAGGTCTGCTCGTAATTCCCAATGCTTTTCATACCACGTACCTGGGGAGAACAGAGGCTAATATGGCAGTCTAGCAAATCGTTCCGGACTTGCACTTCTTCAACATTGCTCTGAAACAAGCTCTAGAATAAGAACAACAACAACAAAAATACAGTGAATACATATATTCATTCACTGCCAAAGCTACTCTCTGCTAGCTGGGAATTTTGGGTCTCCAGAAGAGACTAGAGTAGGCCACAGGGGGAAATTACGCAACACTCACCCAAGCACACACACAAAAATATCAGCTTAGCAATAGCATTTAAACTTGTATGCCGCTTCACGGTGCTTTACAGCCCTCTCTGAGCAGTTTAAAGAGTCAACCTATTGCCCCCCAACCATCTGGATCCTCATTTTACCCACCTCGGAAGGATGGAAGTGTCGGGATTCCAGTAGTTACCTCCATTTAAATCATGAGTCTCAAGCCAAACTTCCAAAACTTCAAAAGAATTTATTGAGAGTTAAAATGTCGGGCACTGCCTGAGTGTAGCCAACTCTGAGACACATCATTCCTTGTCACCCTTGACCCTGGTTTCCCCCCCCCCCCCCGGGTGTATCATAATTCATATTCTCCAATGGGACACATCCATAGCCCAGAGTCTTCAATCATGCTCTCCGGTTAGAATTTTGCACGGCAGTAACTTCAGTCACCTAGTTACTATCTTTGAAAATATTTATGGAATGCAGTGTCAGTTTGAAAGCTGCCGCAATGCTCCCCCCTCCCTTTCTGTTGGCAACTCTAAAAAGACTATAGAAATATTTTATGAGTTGACAGGAAGACAAAGTCAACCTTGAGCCTGGTAAGAATCAAACTCCGCAGTACCGGGACAAAGTTTTGTTGTCAAAATACACCAGGTATCAAATTCAACGAATATCATAGCAGGGTATGACTGTACTGGGCCTTCAAAGGAGGCTTGCTGTTTTGTTAGCCATTAACTCAGTGTACCTCAACTCTAGCCATTTTAAGATGTGTAGACTTCAACTCCCAGTATTCTTTTGGACTGCAATTCCCAGAAAGCTTTGCTGGTTGAGGAATTCTGGGAATTGAAGTCCACAGATCTTAATATGGCATTTCACATCCTTGCCAGCTTTAAGAGGTGTGGCAAAACTGGCTGCTTGACTCGTTGGTTCACACACACCATAGGAAAACCGAAATGCTTGAGCCCTTGCATCCTCTGATAGTGGAGCACTCGTTTTGTAACACTGTCCATGACCAGAATAATATCATCCTCCGGACATCGGCCCCGATGACCTGGCGAACACTCTTGAAATATCATCGTCATAACAGATACATTCTTCTCCAATTTACGCCGTGTCCTGTACCAGGAGAGAGGAACAAGTTGTAGTATAACAACAACAACAACAACAACAACAACAACAACAACAACAATAATAATAATAATAATAATAATAATAATAATAATAATAATAATAA